AGCAGAGGAACCTCCCAGCAGAGGAACCTCCCAGCAGAGGAACCTCCCAGCAGAGGAACCTCCCAGCAGAGGAACCTCCCAGCAGAGGAACTTCCCAGCAGAGGAACTTCCCAGCAGAGGAACTTCCCAGCAGAGGAACTTCCCAGCAGAGGAACTTCCCAGCAGAGGAACTTCCCAGCAGAGGAACTTCCCAGCAGAGGAACCTCCCAGTAGAGGAACCTCCCAGCAGAGGAACTTCCCAGCAGAGGAACCTCCCAGCAGAGGAACCTCCCAGCAGAGGAACCTCCCAGCAGAGGAACCTCCCAGCAGAGGAACCTCCCAGCAGAGGAACCTCCCAGCAGAGGAACCTCCCAGCAGAGGAACCTCCCAGCAGAGGAACCTCCCAGCAGAGGAACCTCCCAGCAGAGGAACCTCCCAGCAGAGGAACCTCCCAGCAGAGGAACCTCCCAGCAGAGGAACCTCCCAGCAGAGGAACTTCCCAGCAGAGGAACTTCCCAGCAGAGGAACTTCCCAGCAGAGGAACTTCCCAGCAGAGGAACTTCCCAGCAGAGGAACTTCCCAGCAGAGGAACTTCCCAGCAGAGGAAACTTCCCAGCAGAGGAACTTCCCAGCAGAGGAACTTCCCAGTAGAGGAACCTCCCAGCAGAGGAACTTCCCAGCAGAGGAACTTCCCAGCAGAGGAACCTCCCAGCAGAGGAACCTCCCAGCAGAGGAACCTCCCAGCAGAGGAACCTCCCAGCAGAGGAACCTCCCAGCAGAGGAACCTCCCACCACAGAACAACACTTGAAGAAACAACAACTACTGAACACAGCTTTACAGCAACCTTTCATTACTCCAACTTATGTTGTTAATTAACTTGACAGTCATTTGTGCTAGATCCTTTACTTCAAGTTATGGTTTAAGTTCATCCTTACATCTTTAAGCTCACTCTTGGATCATAAGCTCACCCTTAAGAGCTAATTCTACAGGTGCTTTGTATATACATGTATATATATATATATATATATATATATATATATATATATATATAATATATATATATATATATATTAGTCAACAAAGCTGCTTTACTATTACCAGTAAAGCACTGAAGGGACTAACCACCTCATATTTATCTCTTCAATGTTTCTGCTTTCTACAGCATTTCAGTTTTCGACTGAAGAAGTCAGCTGAGCAGGAGAAACGCTTCAACAATAAGATACCAGCCTGCTGCACATACGTACTTCTGGTCCATGGCTGGGCTCTGGGAGTAGGAAAACTCTCGGAACTCATCAAAGGTATATCAAAGGTATGACTTGTCAGTATTGTAAACTGTTAATTTAGTAAATATCTTAAGTCTACTGGAGTAAGACTTAAGGAACTAGACATGTGGGATTAAATCCTTTAACTGAATACAGTAGTCTGAAAGAAAGGTTTCAATCCCGTTGGAGGAAGATTCGGGGAACCGAAAACAAGATTGTTCATACACTTATTGTGGACAGCAGTTCATAAGGTTTGTTTGAAGCCTCATGAATTTAGAGACTAGAGGAATTAAATACATTACACGCAAGAAATTATGACTTGGGGATCAAAGACCGCGTCCCAAAGATGTCAATAATATACTGAAGACCTCGGCGTACTTGTCGCAGAGTTCTGAAGCCTCGCTCAGCACGGATCACTGTGTCCCCACCCTTGTACATCCTCACTGACAGGTTCGCGACGATTGCCTCGTAGGGCTGTAAGTCGCACATAATCACGCTGTTTATGAGGGAGTCAATCAGGCCCTCCAGATTGGCGTGGATCTCTGCCATCTGGCTAGCGAAGACATTCTCGTGTAGTGTCTGGTCTAAGAGGAGGCTCTCCATGGCTACAGTGTACCGCTGGACGAAATCAAGAACTATCACTAGCTGATTTGCAGACTGCTGTTGTGTTGACTGCTGCTGTGCAGACTCAGGGGGCAGGTTGGGCAACACATACATGCAGTGTGTACCCTCCTCGTCACAGATCTGTAACGAAGTGTTGTCTCTGCTCTCATTGAAGATGGTATCCATTGTATCCCAGGACTCCCCATACTCGTACAGCGTCTGCAAGATAAAAATATGCCATTACTGATCAATAAGACACAGGTGCAACACCTGGCTATCATTACTGACCACACGTTGCGATGACCAGTTGCTTTATCAATCCAACACAGAGAATAAACAATGTAGACGGTAATCTTGAGGTGTACTGTGCCTCAGTCTTGACAGGAAGTTGGATATGTATTGTATACTGTTTCAGGCAAATTGAAGAATTAGGCAAATGTGCAATATCTTGGCATCTTTATCGTAAAACGTTTCGCCCTCCATTGGCTTCATCAGTACAAATTGAAGGACGTAAGTGAAAGAGGGTTCTACTGCCTTCCCATTATATTCTTGGCGAAACGTCTACAGTAAAGATACCCAGATGTTGCACATGTGTCTAATTCTTCATCTTGACAGATGCTCGCCACTGGCTGGCGAAACGTCTCCTCAGTAAAGATACCCTGGTGTTGCTCATGTGACTTATTGATCAACCAGCCGGTGTTGTATACCAGTAAAGAAATGCACCATTACTAAGAGCTCTGTGAAAGGATTTACAAACCCTACTAAATAAGAAAATTTTTCAAGAAATGCTGTATTATCCATGACGCAAATTATTATTAAAAATACAACGAATGATAGACAAAGACGTGTATTATTCGTAGTATATATCCTACGTATGAATACAATAATGATACACAAGTCTTACGCAGCTCGTTCGTGTCTCGTATGTGTTTCTGATATTAGTGTGTACATGAGACAGCAGTCACAGCTTAACACAACACTCACGTAGTTATTTTTGAAAGCATCGATGAGGTCACAGAGAATCGCAGAGGTCAACACAATATCTTTGATCATCCCGCAGGAGATGTTGGCAGGAAGTACGTTCCTGTAGGAGGAGGAGGCACTGAAGTCATCCTTGAGGTTCTGCTGTGGAGTGTGAGTGAGACAGGAAGCCAGCCATATCATACACAGGAACGTCAGTGTAGTACATGTCCGCCTTGTATTCTCTCTCACTCTACCTGAGGCAATAAGTTGATACCATCACCAGCTGATTACTACTACTATTACAACTTCTAGTACTAGTACTACAACAACAACAACAACAACAACAACAACAACAATTACTACTACTACTACTACTACTACTACTACTACTACTACTACTACTACTACTACTACTACTACTACTACTACTACTATTACTACTGCTGCTGCTATTACTACTACTATTAATTTTACTAACTACTGCTACTAATTGATAATTACTACTACTGCTACCACTACTACCACCACCACCAATACTACTGCTACTACTACTTTGATTACTACTACTAATAATAATAATACTCATAATAACAAATGAGTTTACGAACTCTGTACTTACACATAATGGAACAGGTCACTCTGGAAATAGAAAACAAGGACGGTACTTGAAGACAAAGACGGTACTTGAAAACAAGGACGGTACTTGAAGACAAAGACGGTACTTGAAAACAAGGACGGTACTTGAAGACAAAGACGGTACTTGAAAACAAGGACGGTACTTGAAGACAAAGACGGTACTTGAAGACAAAGACGGTACTTGAAAACAAGGACGGTACTTGAAGACAAAGACGGTACTTGAAAACAAGGACGGTACTTGAAGACAAAGACGGTACTTGAAAACAAGGACGGTACTTGAAAACAAGGACGGTACTTGAAGACAAAGACGGTACTTGAAAACAAGGACGGTACTTGAAGACAAAGACGGTACCTCCCGCTGTTGCGACAAACCAAACCGGTACACTATGGTCTTCACTTTGTCTATATTAATGAAAAAAAAAGGCCCAGTGGCTGATTTTTCTCTCTAAAAAAATATATGAGGAATATTTTTTTCTCTTGCAGGTCACTGAAATAATTGTATTATTGTAACTGCAGAATAGAAGGTGAATCTTATGTTCAAGGTCTTCACGGTTTTCAAGGTCTTTACATTCTTCAAGGACTTCACGTTCTTCAAGGTGTTCACGTTCTTCAAGGTCTTCACGGTCTTCAGAGTTTTCGAGGTTTTGAGTATCTTCAAGGTTTTCACATTCTTCAAGGTCTTCACGTTCTTCAAGGTCTTTACATTCTTCAAGGACTTCACGTTCTTCAAGGTCTTCACGGTCTTCAGAGTTTTCGAGGTTTTGAGTATCTTCAAGGTCTTCACATTCTTCAAGGTCTTCACGTTCTTCAAGGTCTTTACATTCTTCAAGGACTTCACGTTCTTCAAGGTCTTCACGGTCTTCAGAGTTTTCGAGGTTTTGAGTATCTTCAAGGTTTTCACATTCTTCAAGGTCTTCACATTCTTCAAGGTCTTCACATTCTTCAAGGACTTCACGTTCTTCAAGGTCTTCACGTTCTTCAAGGTCTTCACATTCTTCAAAGTCTTCACGGTCTTCACAGTTCTTGACGGTCTTTCAGGTTTACGAGGTCTTCACGGTCTTCAAGAGGCCGCAAAAATGTTACCTTCAGAAGACCTGACAAATGATACCGTCAGATAATGGACCAATGCACAGTCCCATCACTTAAAACATGTTTAATGGAAACATGTTGATCCTGGAACCTCGGTCACTCCAGAGACCCAGAACGGTAAAGTTTCCATTCAAAATATACGAAGTTGATGCTTTTTGAGTCTTTCTTTTACCACTATTTTATTTTCTCTTTTCCCGGACACAAGAAGTTGAAACCCTCCTGAATTTTCTTCACCTCTCGAAGATTTAAGCTATTTTTCCTTTCTTCCAACAATAGTGTCCTGATGCCGTTGAAGGACTTCTGATGTAATGAACAGGAGTATCCTTCTTTTCTTCGTATTAAAGCAGATTATCTCCTATATTCCCCAGGCGGTATATATATACTTGACGGGTTTGGTGGCTGTAATTTCTGTATTCCCTCCTTCACTATAGACGTGTGAAGGCTCTAGAGTTGCTCTCACTACCACAACTCACCACAAGCTTGTCCAAACATAACTGTCTTGTGTCACATCAGCTGTGTGTGTGTGTGTGTGTGTGTGTGTGTGTGTGTGTGAGTGAGTTGGACATTATCTGTGTTGTGGTCTGTAGTAACACCCATATTATACACCCACCAGGATATAATTAGTGTGCTTGTGAATGCTCATTTGAGAGTGTAGGGGTCGATACTCACCTTCTTCATGTGTGTGTGTGTGTGTGTGTGTGTGTGTGTGTGTGTGTGTGTGTGTGTAATTGCTTATTAGCATGTTCTCGTTGGTAATTATAGGAGCAGAGTAATGCTCGTGGTGTCCAGTTTTCAATAATTTCCTCACCAAATAATTGTTTTATTTTTAATTTAAAAGGTTGTAGCACTTGCTACTTCCTCTTCTAATTTATTGCAATGGTTAACATCTCTTTCTCTCTCATTGTTCAGCCGCGGCTTCTTGCTAGCCCCAGTGCAGATACTAGGAATGGGCTTCTTGCTAGCCCCAGTGCAGATACTAGGAAGGGGCTTCTTGCTAACCCAGTGCAGATACTAGGAAGGGGCTTCTTGCTAGCCCCAGTGCAGATACTAGGAAGGGGCTTATTGCTAGCCCCAGTACAGATACTAGGAAGGGGATTCTTGCTAGCCCCAGTGCAGATACTAGGAAAGGACTTCTTGCTAGCCCCAGTGCAGATACTAGGAAGGGGCTTATTGCTAGCCCCAGTACAGATACTAGGAAGGGGCTTCTTGTTAGCCCCAGTACAGATACTAGGAAGGGGCTTCTTGCTAGCCCCAGCACAGATACTAGGAAGGGGCTTCTTGTTAGCCCCAGTACAGATACTAGGAAGGGGCTTCTTGTTAGCCCCAGTACAGATACTAGGAATGGGCTTCTTGTTAGCCCCAGTGTAGATACTAGGAAGGGGCTTCTTGCTAGCCCCAGTACAGATACTAGGAAGGGGCTTCTTGCTAGCCCCAGTACAGATACTAGGAAGGGGCTTCTTATTAGCCCCAGTACAGATACTAGGAAGGGGCTTCTTATTAGCCCCAGTACAGATACTAGGAAGGGGCTTCTTATTAGCCCCAGTTCAGATACTAGGAAGGAGCTTCTTATTAGCCCCAGTACAGATACTAGGAAGGGGGTTCTTATTAGCCCCAGTACAGATACTAGGAAGGGGCTTCTTATTAGCTCCAGAACAGATACTAGGAAGGGGCTTCTTATTAGCCCCAGTACAGATACTAGGAAGGGGCTTCTTATTAGCCCCAGTACAGATACTAGGAAGGGGCTTCTTATTAGCCCCAGTTCAGATACTAGGAAGGAGCTTCTTATTAGCCCCAGTACAGATACTAGGAAGGGGCTTCTTGTTAGCCCCAGTACAGATACTAGGAAGGGGCTTCTTATTAGCTCCAGAACAGATACTAGGAAGGAGCTTTTTATTAGCCCCAGTGCAGATACTAGGAAGGAGCTTTTTATTAGCCCCAGTACACATACTAGGAAGGGGCTTCTTGTTAGCCCCAGTACAGATACTAGGAAGGGGCTTCTTGTTAGCCCCAGTGCAGATACTAGGAAGGGGCTTATTGTTAGCCCCAGTACAGATACTAGGAAGGGGCTTATTGTTAGCCCCAGTGCAGATACTAGGAAGGGGCTTATTGTTAGCCCCAGTGCAGATGCTAGGAAAGGGCTTCTTGTTAGCCCCAGTACAGATACTAGGAAGGAGCTTTTTATTAGCCCCAGTGCATATACTAGGAAGGAGCTTTTTATTAGCCCCAGTACACATACTAGGAAGGGGCTTCTTGTTAGCCTCAGTACAGATACTAGGAAGGGGCTTCTTGTTAGCCCCAGTGCAGATACTAGGAAGGGGCTTATTGTTAGCCCCAGTGCAGATACTAGGAAGGGGCTTCTTGTTAGCCCCAGTACAGATACTAGGAAATGGGCTTCTTATTAGCCCCAGTACAGATACTAGGAAGGGGCTTCTTATTAGCCCCAGTACAGATACTAGGAAGGGCTTCTTATTAGTCCCAGTACAGATACTAGGAAGGAGCTTCTTATTAGCCCCAGTCCAGGTATTAGAAAATCCTCATCTATTCGTTCTTGTCGTTCTATAAGTTTATATGTAACATCAGGTCTGGGTTCCTCCCACCAGCCAGCCTCAATATCCTTAATACTCATGAAGCATAAAGAGGCACAATACGGTGACTGAAGCAGTACACAAAAAACAGCACATAGGAATCTGAAACTCATGACGATGTTTCGGTCCGACTTGGGCCATTAACTAATCACACTAGTTAATAGTCCAAGTCGGACCGAAACATCGTCACATGTTTCAGTCTCCTCAGTACCAGTTGTGTATGATGGCTTACACTTTTCAACTATGGTAATCATCTGTACCTCTTCTCTGGAGCGACTCTCTCTGGTCCAAATTTGTATTTAAATGTGGTCACAGTACAGCAGTGTTGATCTAATATATGCTATAGATAGTGTATTTTTTTAGCATTTTTCCATTAATATTGATAATATATATTTTATAATTCGCTGGGGTGGTATACGAGTTTCATAATATATCGTTTATACGATTTTCCAGCGACAGTTTTTTTGGGGGGTTAATAGCAACCCCAAGATTTCTCTCTCTCTCTCTCTCTCTCTCTCTCTCTCTCTCTCTCTCTCTCTCTCTCTCTCTCTCTCTCTGATATTTTCACTATTCTGTCATGTGATCTGAATTCGCTTTTCTCAGTTTTCACTACATGCCATTAACCATTAATACCATTCTTCAACTATCACTCCATTTGGTCAACGTATCCTAAGTTATCTAATAATCATTTACAGCCATTTTTCGGTATTTTACATAAGATTCTACATCAGAAAATATACTAGATGTAGTTTTTTATTTCTTATTTAGTATATAAGTGCCATTAGAATCTTACATTTGTCCACAGCGAACTGCATCTGCCACTTCTCCGACCACTGCATCAACCTAGCCAGATCTGCCTTCAGCGCTCTAGTGTCCTCAATAGAATTTCATTTCCCGAAATGCTCTGCATAACTAAGGGCTTTCTGTATACACAGCCAAACGTTATCCACTTCTGTACATTGTAACTTGCTGAAATTAATCTTATCTGATCTTATCTACTTATTTTAGTGTTATCGGCAAACTTGCTCATGCCACTCTTCATTCCTTCATTTATGTCGTTTATATACCTGGAGTATACCTGTAGAGGGTTTCGGGGGTCAACGCCTCCGCGGCTCAGTTCGAGACCAGGCCTCGTGGTGGCTCAGGGTCTGATCAACCAGGCTGTTACTGCTGGCGCAAACTGACGTACGAACCACAGCCCGGCTGGTCAGGTACTGACTTTAGGTGCCTGTCCAGCGCCTTCTTGAAGACATCCAGGGGTCTATTGGTAATCCCCTTATGTATGCTGGGAGGCAGCTGAACAGTCTTGGGCCCCGGACACATATTGTGTTGTCTCTCAGTGTACTCGTGGCCCCCCTGCTTTTCATTGGGGGAAGTACTGATCTCTGTTGAACACCACTTTTGTGTCCCAATTCTGATTTCTCATCATTTGTGCAAACCCTCTGTTGCCTCGATTCAGGAATATCTTTATTATAAGAAGAACGAACATAAGAACGAAAGAACACTGCAGAAGGCCTACTGGCCCATGCGAGGCAGGTCCAAGTCCCTACCGGCTTAAGCCAATGCACCCAACCTAGTCAGGTCAGGTCACATTGACTTAAGGGAGGAACACGGCAACCGACCTGTTAGCACAAGCTATCAGGTCTAACTCACACCCACCCACATCTACTCATGTATTTATCCAACCTATTTTTAAAGCTACACAACGTTCTGGCCTCTATAACGGTACTTGGGAGTTTGTTCCACTCATCCACAACTCTATTACCAAACCAGTACTTTCCTATATCCCTCCTGAATCTGAATTTTTCCAACTTAAAACCATTGCTGCGAGTCCTGTCTAGGCTAGATATTTTCAGCACACTATTTACATCCCTTTATTTATTCCTGTCTTCCACTTATAAACCTCAATCATATCCCCCTAATTCTACGTCTTTCTAGAGAGTGCAGTTTCAGGGCCCTTAGTCTATCCTCATAGGGAAGGTTTCTGATACATGGGATCATCTTTGTCATCCTCCTTTGTACATTTTCCAGAGAATTTATATCCATTCTGTAATACGGTGACCAAAACTGTGCAGCATAATCTAAATGAGGCCTAACCAAGGATGTATAGAGTTGAAGAACAACCTGAGGACTCTATTATTTATGCTTCTTGATATGAAGCCAAGGATTCTATTAGCTTTATTGCGAACACTTATGCACTGTTGTCTTGGTTTCAGATTACTGCTAACCAGAACTCCTAAATCTTTTTCGCAATCCGTAATATTAAGATCTACATTATTTAGTTTATATGTGGCATGGTTATTGTCCTGTCCAACATTTAGAACTTTGCATTTGTCTATATTAAACTGCATCTGCCACTTCTCCGACCACTGCATCAGTCTATTCAAATCTTCCTGGAGTGCTCGAATGTCCTCGTCAGAATGAATTCGACGGCCTATTTTGGTGTCATCGGCAAACTTGCCGATGTCGCTCTTTATGCCCTCATCTATGTCGTTTATGTAGATTGTGAACAGCAGGGGGCCCAACACTGACCCTGTGGAACACCGCTCGTGACGCTTCCCCACTCTGATTTCTCCCCATTTATGCAAACTCTCTGCTGCCTATTTGTCAACCATGCCTCTATCCAGGAAAAAATTTCTCCTCCTATTCCATGTGCTTTAATTTTCCTCAATAGTCTCTGATGTGGGACCCTGTCAAAAGCCTTACTGAAGTCCATATACACAATATCATATTCATTACCATGATCTACCTCCTCAAATACCTTAGTGAAAAAAGTTAATAAATTCGTAAGGCAGGAACGCCCTTTGTAAAACCATGCTGAGATTCGTTGATTAATTTATGCTTTTCAAGGTGGCTACGAACTGCCTCGGCAATTATTGATT